AAATACACACATATACACACAATTTATATATCATATATGTGCATATATGTGTGTATAGGTATGTATACGTATAGAAGCCTATTCACTGTTTTACCTCTGTAGTCATTTAGTGGTCCTTGTAAACATTTACAAGCTTGAGGCAATTAACAATGGAGGAACAAATGATGAAAAGCGAACAATATACATGTAGTAGACAAAATCCCCCCCCCCCCCAAACCACCTTCACAAATCGACGTTCTACACTTTAGATTGTTTTACTGTCTTTACGGATGTGAACAGCAGAGAAATTGTGTCGATGGTCAAGCATAGTTAGTAGTGCCAAAGATCTTTCCAACATAGTTTTGATTCGTTTCAGATCACTAGTCCCTTTGAAAACATTCCGTTGACTTTTTTAACTTATAAAATCAAAAGAAACTAGAATCTACAGTGTATTTGCTAAAACCTGTCGCAGAACGTCGTCAGTCTTAATAATACTGAGTATTATTTTTTTTCTTCCTCTGATTTTATGGCACAAAGATAGAGAACACTAGTCAATGGTCTATAGACAACACTAGTCAATGGTCTATAGAGAACACTAGTCAATGGTCTATAGAGAACACTAGTCAATGGTCTATAGAGAACACTAGTCAATGGTCTATAGAGAACACTAGTCAATGGTCTATAGACAACACTAGTCAATGGTCTATAGACAACACTAGTCGATGGTCTCCGGAGTATTGTTTCTGCCGAAAAGTCATCGTTTGGGCAAACGGGGCATTAAAGTATTTAGCTACATCACCCAAGCCAAAATCAGAATCTTAATTTGACCGAAACAAAAAAAAGCTTGCAGTTATGAAACTAAAAATTTAAAGAATAAAACTGGGACCTGTCTAAAAAGAGAAGAAAAATCCACTAGTCAACTAAAGCACTAGTCAACTAATTTTACAACGGAAAATAGACATCGTAATATCGGTGTATAAGTAAACCTGGCAAAAATACATCGAAAAAGAGCAAACAAAATGGAAATTAATGAACAAAATAAGTAGAAAGACAAATGTGATCAAATCTGCGATGATTCAAGTAAAAATCAAAGGGTTCACTAATTCGAAATTAAAAAAAAAATAAATGAAAAAACAAAAAAACCCAGGCTACGTCAAAAAAGATTGTCACCGTCTTCTTAAAAGGGCCGATAACACGGATGAGCTTCCTATTCCAGGATGATCTCTCTATTGTAAGTGGTCTCCTATGCTCGCGGCGCCTACAACGTATCCCTCGACATGGCGACTTAGCAGATGGCAGCTAGGGGAAGGGAGCCAGGCTTCAACTATCCAAACGTCTTCATAAGTGACGTCTCAAAGTCTTTTTTCGTCGACTGCCTTGAGTGGGACACCTGGAAAAATGCAGCATGTCATTACGTATTGGTTTATGATTCCTTTCTGTAACTATTATTACCTGTAATGATATTACAAACAACGTTAAAGTAAATACACTGCTATGGCTTCGGATTTTAAGCAAATTCAACGATATTCTAGACATACAATATAATAATCATTTTGTAGATGAAAGGCCGGTAGGGAAAATCTCAAAATGGACGAAGGAAATGGGGAACTAATTCGGATTCGAACCTCAAAATTCTGAGTAATTGTCAAACTCTGCCTAACTGCCTAAGCTGACTTCTTGATACCGATCAGCTATACGGCAGAGACAC